AAGCTTCAAATGTAAATAAAGCGTATTTTCAAATATGTAATTCAAAATCCAAAAATAAATGGCTTTCAAATAATGCGATTGAGTTTGTTAGAACTATATATAGATTTTAGAAACATGAATACAAACTTAAGGATAAAATATACTTTGCATAAATATATTTATTATTGATACAGGTGAAAATTTTATATATCAAAAGTTATTTTAACACCAATTCCCTCTCTTTGCACTATTATATAAAACTATATAATTAATTCCACAAAATATAAATAACTGCGAATAACAATAAATTAAACAATTCCCGGGAAAAAAAAGATTATATATAATTATATATAAATATATGTGATTATGTATGATTATATATGAATTTTGTCCATATATGTGACCTTATATATGGTCATATCTAATTATATATATTCATATATAAAACGAAAATTGTCAAATGGAAAAAGGAAAATATAATTTGATTCGATTAAACGTCGACATCATGGGTTACCATAAACATAAGCATTTACTTCAATTGTATTTTCACAGTAGTATTTTTTTCAATGTCGACATATATAATTATATATGATCATATATAATCATATATGGATAAAATTCATATATAAAATTTTTTTCTCGGGTTTATATGTAAATGTGTAGATTAATTATTATATACTCACCGACATGTATTGAATATAGGCGCAAAAAGTAATTGCTATAAACAAAACATTTGTAAGGGCTAAGATGAACGAGACATAAGCGTCATAGTCGTAGACGTAAAATAAAGTAGAGAAAAACGTAAACGTAAGTCATGAAAGGCTATTAGCCTTACGCTTACGTTTTTCTCTGCCTTACTTTACGTTTATGATTACGACGCTTACGTCTTATTCTTTGCCTTAGTCCTAATTCCTCATGAATTCTCAAAGTGTTCTAGGAATTAAATTGCGAAGTATTCGCTATAATGAAGTCCTAAGGAATATTTCAAGACGAACTTACTGTGGTTAATTCTTCAAAAATTCTTCGGGTATTCATTTTTCTAATTCTATATCTATTCTTTAAAATGAATTCTCTATGAACTTCTGTTCATCTCTATGCTATCTGAGTATTGACTTCTTTTTATTGATAACCATGTAAAAATTAAGATAAAATAAAATTAAGAGTCACACAAAAAACATTTAGCGTGCCCAGGTATATAAATAATTTAAATATGTTTTCTAAATAGTATTTTGTATGTCAATTTGTAAAATTCAAAGTAACTTATTGCAACACGGGCACGTGTCAATAGTTACCACATATAGTGTGAATATACACAAAGTTATTATATTATACGTAATGATATTTTCGTTTGATCTAATTATCTTTTAACATCCCTTTTGTAGAAAATAGAAATTTAAATAATAATGTTTTAACGTCTTTATGTTTTAACGTATTTATGTTTTCTGAAAGTATGTATGTGAAATATTTCATACATGAACATATTTATTTTTATATAATTCTATCCATGTAAGGAAACACGTGAATTATTTTCACTTGGCCTAACTACCTGATATCACGTTTTTTTTGTAAAAAAATAGAAGTTTAAACAACAATATTTCTTATTAACATTTTTAAATGTGTTATTTTACAAATAAAGTATTTTTTTTAGAAACATTAATTTTTGTATAATTCCACTCGTGCAGGCAAGCGCATGAACTTGACGTCTTTTTTCACCTTTTTTTAAAAAAAGATAGGTTTGTTTGGATATCACATCTTTTTCATAAATGATTGAATATCTATTAAACACACAAATTTGACATAAGTTTCATAAATTATATATTATAATTTTAGGAGACTTGTGTATTAATTTAACAGAAGATAGTATTATATTTCTTCTATAAACA